GAGGGAATCGCACCCGCCCCACCTCTCACCTTATTCAAGAGCGTCAGTTTGATCTCTTTGTGAGCGCTGAAGCCCCCTTGCTGAGACTGGGGGGCTGAGGGCTGCTGGGTCTGGAGGAGCTGCTGAGATTTGCTCCCCTGGGTGGGCTTGGCCGATTTCAGGAGCTGGGCAGGCACGTCCCGTTTCCGCTTCTCCTCTTTAGCGCTATCTTCTTTTTTTGACTTTCCTGTTGAAACCAGAGAGCAGATGTAGTGATTTGCGACCGATTCCTTTCGCCTGCCCTCCCTTTGGAGGGCAGGGCAGGAGGATGCTGCTCCAGGGACCGAAAAAGCCCACACCAGTTAGCATAGCACGTGGCCCCAAGGTTAAAAGATTCAGGAAACCAGAGTTTCCGCAGAGAGGACGCTTAACATAAAAGACAAAGAACAAAAGGCTCTTGCCGCCAACTCTGCTACGGTCTAAAAGAACAGAGGAAGAGTGACGTGATACTGGAGTTTTCCAGAAGATTTAGCATCGCCTCGCAAGGGTGAAAGAGAACGAGGTAAGAGAGGGGGCATCAGGCAGAACTCCCAGGCAGGAAAAGGCATCTTTACAGCCAGAGACACATGGGTGGAAGCACACGAACGTGTATTGGCTCCACAGCCTCTCTTCTCCATGGTCCCACCCTCCTCAGGTGAAGCCTCTGGGCTCCCCTAGTCTATGCCAGCCACATGTGTCTGCCTCTGCTCGACAATCTTCCTGGAGCCCACAGATCTCTGCTCCCCCCTTCTTTTCCCAGGACCCCTTGGAGAAGAAAATACCAAACCAGGTACCTCTACCTTTCTTCTGCTGCGCTGGGGTTGGGGATCGGGAGCTGGCTGAGGAAACAGGACTGGCCAAGTCCGCGTACATGTCTTCGGAGTCGGCGCTGCGTACAGAGCTGCTGCTAGAGGAGGCACTAGAGACAGAAGAAACGCTGCTCACGCTCAGGGACCTGGAAAGAGCCAACAGCCCGTTACAGTCACGAATGCAACAAGAACCAGGCAGCGATGAGACAGACACCTTTGATTTGATTGCCCTGCATGGCTGAGATGTCAGAAAGCTGCTAAGGCAGGCGACAACCAGGAAGAGACAAAGGCCGTGTCTCCTGGGGCGCAGACGATATGAAAAATCCCAAACATGTTAGATGCAAGTCTAGAAAGTACTGTTTATTTATAAACAGGATTAAGGCAACATGTAAACAGGTCGCTGTTTCCCCAGGTAAACAAAAAGTGAGAGCAGGGTGTGCGCTATCATGTACAGGCCAGTGTTATGGCTCAGGTCAAGAGGTCCCTGGCAATGTTTTTGTTGTTTGGCACACATTTATTCACGGAGGCTTTAAAAGCCCTGGAGTCCCAAAGCCCACAGCTCCTGCCCAGCTCCCCAGGGTACAGGAGAGCCCAGCTGCCTGTTTTGAGGATGCACGTACTGTCACGACTGATAACGACAGGGAAGATGCCTATCATATGGCTGGCTACCTTCTAATAGTGCCTATAAGATGGCTATCTTCTAATGGATTCACAACATTAAAAACGTCAGGCAATCATTATATTAAGGATGACTTTCTACTTAGAAATGTATCAGACAAAAATACAGGGCTATGCATCAGACTCCCCTTCAGGGGCACGCCACCGCTGCAGCATCACTATACCGAAGCGGCTCCAAAAATCCCAGCTAGCTGGGGGCCGGCTGGCCCCGCAGCCACTGCCACGCGGGACCAGGCGTACGCTAACTACATGAATATTTAGGCAGCCTCTCCAGCAGGTTCTGCAGGCCACACCGACTTTTGCGCTCCAGCGACTGCTCTGCCAGCAACGTCCAAGCTCACTTGCTGGAAGCTGGCTTGCCTGTGACTGAACGGCTGCGGCAGCCGCAGCGCAGACAAGCCCTGGAACGAGCTGCAAAGTTGCCACCCGCTGGTATCCTGACAGAGGCGAGTTTTGAGAGGCCTCATTGACTGCTGCAACGGCGACCGGATGAGCCATAAACTCCTTCTCCAGGAAAGCTCTGGGCTACAAGCTTGTGACAGCAAATCTGGTTTGGGCACAGACTGTATTTCCTATGTTTCCTCCTTTGCCACACACCTGTAAAAGCAGCAAGCACGGCCCCGGTGCCACACACCACCTGCATTAAGTTTTCCCCATCTTCTCCTCTCAAGCCCCGTACGGCAGGGCAGTGCAGAGCCAGCGTGCCTGAGCGCTCTCTGAACCTCTTGCATCACCCCTGCCTGATCTGATGAATGCGACAAGCATGTAGTAAACAAGTTTGTATTTCCGTAAAATAATGCGGATGTTGAACCTTGGAGTTTCACAGAGTTCAGATATGTGAATTACCGCTGATCAGAGCCAAGTCCTACTTAATCCACTAGTTTTACACTGCTGGTCTACTTCTAA